TGAGGAGTGAATGTGTACGATAGATGCTTAGCAAACTCTTCTGCTCTATTCTCATCTGATGAAGCCCAGGAACCATCATCACGGCGGAGGGGGTGGGAAATGGATTGGAATTTAAGGATTTTTTTAGTTACATTCCAGAGGGAGTTATCACTTGCAGATAGTGAGGAAAGATAGGAATTATAGGATTGGGATCTAAACGTAGCCAGTTTTTGTTTTACCTGCTTGGAATAATAGTTATATGATTTCCGATCATCAGGATGCCTGGTTCTTTGCCAGATGGTCCTAGAGCATCGTTTTCTATTAATAAGGTCCAGTAGGTCTTGGGGTAGAGGATTTATTTTGCGGTATTTTTTAGAAGGATAAGGTGAAGATGCAGTCCAAACTGCTTGTTGGATCAAGGTAGTCATGGAATATACTGCTCCATCTAGGTCTGCGGGTGTTTTTAAGGAAACTCTGAGGTCAATATTATCATCCAGTATTTGACGGAAGAGGTTCCAATAAACTGGCCCCCTGATAAATGAAGGTGGAGGTGGTTTGGGAATTGGTGATGTGGAGACCGTTAGGATTAGGGGACTATGGTCTGAGGAAAGATCATCAAGTCTTGAGATGCAATAATGAAGGGACCCTAGACCTTTGTGGATGAAAAAATCTAGGAGATCGGGATTGCGGTTAGGATCTGTTGGCCAGTATGTGGGAGAATTGGGTGAGAGGATGTTGCTGTGATGGGAATTAAGTGCAGATAGCAATGGTCGTCCTCGGGAATTTGTGGTTCTGGCTCCCCATTGCTGGTGTTTAGCATTTAAGTCTGCACCTAGAAGGAAGTGGTGTCCTAAGGAGTTAAGGAAGGAAGTTAATTGGGATTCTGAGATGGGTATTTTAGGCGGGGAGTATGCTGCGACTACTGCTATTGGGTAAAGGGAAGTTTGGATTATCACGGCAGTGGATTGTAGGAAATTATGGGTTAGCAAAGGGAATAGATGATGGGAAAGGGATTGATGGATAATTATGGCAGTGCCAGCATGTGCTGTTCCATCAGGATGGTCGGTTCGATAGATATGATAGTTGGGGATGTTAAGTGGTCGTTTGTTGGTAAGTTTTAATGCTATATCAATGTTTTTGTCCTGTAATAAGATTGTTAGCTCGTTGACGTGATTTCGAATACCATTCGCATTCCAAAGGAGAACGGAGAGGGATTTGATTGGGGACATTTAAGGATTTCTCGACAGTGGGATGAGGTTGGATACAACATTCTTGGATACAACATTGGTAAGCAAGGAAATGAGAGGAGTGATGAGTGACCTGAATTCAGAGAGGAAAGAAGTCAATAGGCTTATGAGGTCAGTGGCATTGGGAGGAGGAGGAATGAATGTCTGGTTATTAGGCCTAGGTTCAGAGATGTGATAAGGGTCTTGTGGTTGAGATGTGAATACTCGAGGTTGAGGTTCTTGTGGCAGGGCCTGAGTTTCTGTGGGTGCAGTGTCTCCTTTGAACATCTGAGCATAGGACACTCTTGTATTTACAGTTCTAGAGGGTTGTCTTGGTGGCCTGGATGGCCATTCTTCTCTTGGAGCTGCATAAATTCTTGCTTTCAGTTCCTTATATGTTTGGCAACCCTTGTAGTTCGCTGGGTGCCCTTGGTGGCATAAAGCGCATACTGCTGGTGTTCTTCTGGACTTCTGGCAGTCCTCAGTTTTATGTTGATCACCGCACCTGACACATCTAGGAATGTGGTGGCAATAGCGTTTCGTATGACCATAAGCCTGGCAGTTATGGCATTGTACAATGTCGCGCTTAGTGTAGGGCTTTTCTACAACAACGCTAGTGTAATAAAGGCGTGTGACCTTGTAGATTTCTTCGACCTGGGGCGTTCGGTCAAGGTCAACGAAGAATAGTGGGAGCGGTATTTTATTTTTTGTACCAGGCTGTTCTCTATCTTCCTTGAATATATTCACTATTTGTCGAACACGGAACCCCATCTCAGTTAGTTCTTCTTTAATGGCATCCAGCGGTGTTGATGGGTGTAATCTCCTGATCACCACCCTGAGCGCTCTCTCTTGGCGCAGTTGATATGTGTGATAATCCGCCTTAGTGTCAGATAAATACTTGACAATTTTTCTGTACGTATCTGGGGTGTCAGGCATTAATTTCGTGTCATTAGTGCGGCTTTGGCATACGTATTTACCTGAGCCCACTATATTATTTAATTGTTGACACATTAATTGGAAATTTTTTATATTTCTAACGAATATTGGTGGAGGTTTAGGTTCACTAGGGATGGGTACTGCTTCCATTTGTTCATTCTGTGTGTTTGACAGCACTTGGAATGGATTAGCTGTAAAAAAAGGCGATTCTTCTAGCGTACCTTGTATTGGTATAACTTGTGTTGACATATTTTGTGATGATGTGCCAGGTTGATTTTCAACTTCGTCAACTGAGCTCTCTGGTGTAGCTGGCGGGGTATTTTTTTTAGAGCGTCTAGCCCTTTTCTTGATGGGTGAACTCTTTGTGGTATCGAGACTCCTAGATCTTAAAGTTCGATTGTTACCTTTAGTTAGTGCACAGAAGGCGATACCAAAAGGAGTGCGGAGAATGAAGAAGGTGTGTTGGTGGTCAAATGAATTAAATATTCGTAAGAGAGAGATAGCACGGTTGAGGAGGATGTATCAGCGGGGAAGTGTGGGGGACAATAAGGACGTATTAAAAATGGAGTATAACAGGAAAAAGAGAGAATATAAGAAAATGATTAAGGAGGCTAAACTGAAGAGTTGGAATATATTTATTAAGGAACAGGAGGAGCTGGGACCTTGGAATATGGTATATAAGCTAGGAGTGGGAAAAATAAAGCCGGAGAAGGTGATGGGAATGATTGGAGAGGAAGAAGGTATCATAGAGTGGGAAGACTGCGCAAAACGATTGTTAAACGGATTAATTTTGGATGACTGTAGTGAAAATGAGAATGGAATGCACGTGGATATAAGACAACAGAATGGAAGGTATAGACCGGAATATGGAGAAAGATGGGAATTAAGAGAGGAAGATGTGAAAGTGGCTGTATGGATGAGTAAGAATGGTAAGGCGCCTGGAAAAGATGAGATCAGTATTGAAATGTTAAAGAAGGGTTGGGAGGTACTGAGAAGTGTGCTAGTAAGACTGTACCGTCTGTGTATTAAGTTTAGAGTTTTTCCGAATAGATGGAAATATGGGATTGTTAGGGCATTGTTGAAGAGCGAAGACAAAGACCCCGGACATATTAAGTCATACCGACCTATATGCTTACTATCTGTGTTGGGAAAGGTATTCGAAAGAATAATTGTTACTAAACTGGAGAACGTTTTTAACGAGGGTGTGCATGATAGACAATTTGGGTTTATGAAAGGTAAAAGCACGGAGGATGCAATGAATGAGTTACAAAGTGTGATTGGTGAGTGTGAATCTAGGTATGTAGTTGGAGTGTTTCTGGATGTTAGTGGTGCGTTTGATAGAGTGTGGTGGCCTGGTGTGTTAAGATGCCTGCGAGAGAGAGGCGTAAGGAAGGAGGGGTTTGAATTAATGAAGGACTACCTTTCAGGAAGGTCGGTAGAGTTGAACGTCGGACCTGGCGTAGTGACGAAAAAAGTGAATATGGGATGTCCCCAAGGTTCTGTCATGGGCCCACAAATTTGGAAACTGATATTTGATGGATGTGTGCGTAGAATGAATGAGGCAGGTTGGGACATGATCGCTTTTGCGGACGACGGAGTGATATTGATAAAAGGTAATTCCCGCCGTGTAATTGAAAGGAGAGCGAATGAAGCTATGGGAGTGTTGGATGAATGGATGAATGAGAATAAGATGTGTTTATCGACTGAAAAGACTGTATGTATGATGTTGAAAGGGAAGTGTGTAAGAAATAGATATCCTAGAGTGAATGTGAGTGGCAATGTATTGAAATTTGTGGAACGAGTGCGATACTTGGGTGTTGTATGGGAAGAGCGAATGAGGATACAACAACATGTGGTTATAGCATGTGAGAAAGCTGCAAGATTATTTAATGGAGTGTTGAGTATGTATGAGAAGAAGACTGAATGTGTGCGAATGAGTTTGGTAAAAATGCTATATAAAGGTTTGTACTTGGCCATTACTTGCTATGCGGCAGGAGCTTGGGGAGCTAAATTAAATGTATGGACAATTGCCGTCTTGCGTAGAGGTCAGCGAAGGGTATTATTAAGATGGCTGAGGGCATACAGAACGATTTCGCAGGACGCATTAGAAGTATTGGCAGGACAGTGGCCGTTAGATTTGGAAGTTGAGAGAAGATGGGCAAGTTACAGAATGAGAAGATATGGTAGAGTGGAATGGAGAGGGCAAGTGATAGAAGGGGTTAAGAAGAAAGGTACATTACGGGATGTGTGCCTGAATGAATGGCAAAAGAGATGGAATGAAAGTAGTAAGGGAAGGTGGACGTATGAATGGTTACCGAATGTAAAAGAAAGAATGAATATGGAGTGGCTGGAATTGGATTACTTGATGTGTCAAGTACTGAGCGGACATGGGTGCTTCCGTGATAAATTGTTTGGCTTTGGTTTGTGTGAAAATCCGTGGTGTGACTGTGATGAGGAGGAGACAGAAAGTGCCAGACATGTTTTGTTTGAGTGCATAAAGTATGAAAAAGAAAGAAGTGTACTGGATCGGGAATTAAGAGAACTTCGTTTGAAAGGAATGCGTGGTTGTATGAGTGATAAAGGGTATAAATGCTTTAGGGATTATGCGATAAAGGTGATGCAGACGTTAGAAGAGGCGGAAAAGAGAAGTGCGGAAATAATATAGTATGTATGTGGGAGAGTAAATGGTATAGTGTGAGAGCGTGTGAGTGATTGTAATATTATGTATGTTGGTGGACTTAATGTCCATGGGTGGATGAAGGGTACGGATCCCTCCCTCTCTCATGATAGGATGGTTAGCCCCCCCATTCTACCATGGGACAGGGGAACCGTAGGGGCTTGCCCCGGGCCTGTGACCATTCATGGCCTCTGGGACCTTAGGTCCAAAAATGGTACTACGGGCTGGTGGTCTGCCTCCTTCAGGCAATGACTACATGGGCTGGTGGCCGGGGCCGCTTGGCGGTACGCCGGTTGCAGACGTAGTGGTCGTGTGTTAGATGCTCCCAGTAGTATGACCCCAGTTGTTCTGGTACTATCTACTGTGGTGCGGAAGCTAGAGAAGTAGGTTTTGTCTTTTCCAAGGATGCCATCAGGTGTATCCTTACCTATTGGTCGTGGAGTGCAGGGATAGGAAAGAGTCCGGTTAAGGCCCTCAGGCTAGGCACGACTTCTTTCCGTTCCCGTCCTCTATACGACGTACACACCTGTTACCTTTGCTCGACATTACCATATGAAAATAGCGCATCTCGTATTAATTTAATTAGAGGTAACTGTAATAATTTAAAAAAAAAAAAAATGTCCTTTATCAATTACGTATATATTACGCGAGTTTGTAGAAGTCTAAGTAACGTAGATCTGCTTCCGCCAAAGGGCAGCAGCCCACTGGTCGGATTAACGAATGTATATGGCCGGCTTGTTATCTATCACTATCCTCAGGTCTATTTACACTGTTCACAATGCCGTTATAAATAAGTGATTACTCACCTTGTTTATGTCCAGTTTCAACTTAATTGTTAACTTAACAGTTTACACTACTTTTTCACATATAACATGAATTATTTCACTGTTAATAAAGTCACTTAATAAGAGACGAAATAAAGAGTACATGTGTAAGGTTAACGCATGCGCAGAACTCTTATCGTGACCTAGAACTTTTTTATCTACGAAATTTTTTTATTTACGAAAGTTTGGCGTTATCTCATTTAATTAATTAATTATAGGAGGTACTAACAACTCATAAATAACTTTCTTTGTTCGCAACATAATTACTAGTAGTACTATCATAATTATCTTCTTACATATATTGAAATATAATATATACTTTATATACATACATACATATATTTATATATGATAATGACAATTTTTATAACCTACATAATATATTCCGGCAAGGGGGAAGCACTTATAAGCATCTGTATGTCGCAGATCTCATAATGAAAATGCTGGAGCCGGCTGAAGTTCGGTCAAACCCCACGTATGTTTGAAATGAGAACAACACAACTGTTGTAAACTCGACCAACTTGTGTCAAAGCGACCAAAAGGCTTTGGGTGGAATATTAGTCTAAAGTATGCTGTCGCCCTCCCACATGGGGTATATTACATAATTTTCTGTCTATATATCCACAATATGATTATAATTAATATTACGCGTGTTTATAATAAAAAAAATTATATCTGGTGATAGCTGAGACTAAAAATGTATTATTTTAATTTAAAATTTTAACCTAAAAATTATATCCGTCTTACCAATGAGTAAATTCACAAATAAGATATATAAAATGATATATCAAAAGTTAATATATTGTGTATATTGGTATGTATGTGTTGTTTCTTTTTAAATTTACTTACCTTTAAGTTATTTTATTTTCAATAATGAACTATTTTAATCATCCGAAAAATTCAAAAACTTAAATTCTCCATCTCAGTGTAAGGTTTTGTGTTTCAGGATAGGTATAATTCGAAATAAATAGGTATAAACCGAATAAAAATATGTTTGTTCGTCCACCGTCCGCGCATTTTTTCCGAGACTACTGGACCGATTTTTCAAATTTTGATTTAAAGTTTTATTAGGTAACCCGAGGATGATCATCCTACATCAACATTACTATCCGCCCTCTTCTTGCAAGATGGCACCCAAAAAATCTATGTTGATACAGACTAATGTAATAATGTAGTAGCTCATAAACGAATGAACCGATTTCTTGGATAAAGTCTTCAACTCGATGTCCTTTAAATTTATCACAATAATTTGGAAAAAAGGCACGAGGTTTGTTACTTTTTATATAGTTTAAAAGTTAATGAAAGGCGCTTTTTGTTACGTTTACGAAATTTCCTAAAAAACAAAAAAAAAAATCATTAAAACCGGAAAATTGGGAGCAAATATGGTATCTAGATATATTTTATATATTCTACTGCAAAGAATATATCCTTAGTTTTGGTTTTTGATTTTTGAAAGTGTTACTGAAGCAATACTTTTTTTTTTTTTTAGTAAATTACTAATGATGAAAAAAAAATGCTTCAGCCAATAATAGGAATCACTTTTTATTTATTTTTCTTTATGTTACGACTAAGGTAATATTAGTTTAGATGTATAATTGTTTGGAAATTATAAACCATTAGGAAATAATTCGCTGCGTTTTTATTTATTATATATTAAAAAAAAAATTTAAAAAACCTGTACCACTACAACCCATGAAGGGTCAGGGGTTCAGTACTATTTAGGGAAAGTACTGTTTTTAGATCAAAGGTCCTGCTAGGAGGTGATTTGACCGAGATCACGCTCAACCGCCAGGTTTCCCCCTTAATTGTTTAATTAAGGGTACCCACTTTATAGAGCCTGGGTGTGCCCCAGGAGGGACTCCCAACCCAGGGTCGCCCCATGGCCAATGAAACAGATAAATAAATTTTCTGGCATGAGCCGGGGTTCGAACCTGGAACCTTTGTATTGGAAGCACTGAGCTACCCCACTTCCATTTATTGTATATACCTTGCTATTATTATTTAGTTGTTATTTTACTTCTGTTTATTTTATCTTTTCTGTGCATATTCTGTGAATGTGGTCTTACCTGACTATAATTATAGGCATTGTGACAGAATATTATTTTATTCAATAAATAAATAAGGTAAAGTTAATGTATTTTTATAAAAACTGTTTGATAAATTTATTAACTACCACTTGAGAAAATTAAATTAAAAGCATTTTATTAAAATGTTGAGACAAAGCGAAAAAATATCTGAAATCCATAGCATTCGCTATCAACTTTATGGAAATATAGAATCCTTATGTTTTAATTAAAAAGTTAAAATGAACCACAACAAAATCACAATACTGTTTTTTTTCTGTTGGCATTACAGACCATGTCTGTAATACCATGTAGATCTTTTGCCACCTTATCAAGCCTGTTCCATCTTTCCCTTTTTTGGTCTATTTCTTTCCATTTATCTCCACGCAGCTCTGTTGTATCTTTGTTGATTCTATCTATCCATCTGCTTTTTGGTCTTCCATGTGATCTTTTGCCTTCTATTGAGACATTAATTGTTACGTAGAGGCTTCCAGATGGATTGCTAGGAGGTCATCCCCTGCCCATCTTAAACTCCCTGACTTCATATTATGGGATATGGATTAATCAATTTCTGTAAGCAGTGCTTTGTTGCTATTTTTTCTTCATGTGTTAGTACTCTGATCCCAGATCGCTCCGGTTATCGTGCGGAGGATTTTTCTCTCAAATCATTCAAAACTTTTTTCTAGAGTGCTGGGTTAGTGTCCAGATCCCAGAGCTATATATCAGAACTGACTAGCACATTAGCATTGTACACTCTTAATTTGAGATTTCTTGAAATTTTTCGGAATTTCAATACTGGTTATAATAACTATTTAAAAATAAATAATAATATCAATGGAAATTGAAATAATAGAATTTGAACTTTAAAACTATGTCATATCCCTTTCAGTTCTCCGGCTAGAGATTGAAGAGATTTCTCAGTTTTTCCCTTCAAAACCATGCAACTTTTTTTTGTTTACCAATCTTTTGCCTTTTAAGCCATACTTTTGTGTTGTGGAGGCTGCTCTTTAACTGCTTCCTTCAGCTAAAGTACCATCTTTTCGCAGTATTGATTTTTCTTTTAGTCTCCTGGGGCATAACATTTTATGTGGATCTCGATCCCTTTGTAAACAAAGCTGTCAACGCATTCGAACATAAAATGGCCGGCTTGGAAATATTCCTCTTTTCCTCCTCTCCGTCCCGTCCTACTCCCAAATACTTAGTCTTCTGTATATTGACACTAAGATCATGTATCCTGTGTGCCTCCTCAGTAATAGGAATTCTTCCCTTACTGCTATCTTAGATTTACTGTCCGATATCCTCTGCTAATCTTAGGATTTAAACTCGATAAACAGGGCTCACCTCGATTTTTTCAGTTCATCATTTTTCTTGCGCAAAGTGAAAATTAAGGCGACTTAACCATTACTTTATTTCATGATTTGTGTAAACTAAACTTCTCCCAGTCGGATTCCATTTTTATAGCATACTTTCATTCTCTTCATAGTCATTTTTAGGGCGAATGAGCTTCTTTGGCATCCTCACTTAATCCAGTGATAAGATTCATACCTGTCTTCATTATGATAGGATGCTTTACCCTAACCAGTTCCTGAAATTTCGTTATTATATGCCTTCTAAAAGCTCTTCTTCTCCAACTAAATCTACTTGTTTCCTCTCTCATTTTTCCTCACTTCGATTATAGCTGTCTTATATGCGGTGGTCTGTCTGGTGGACTTGAGATCAGATTGAACAGATTAATGGTTTTTTTCATTAGATTCATCTTTTGAGTCTCCATCTGGTATGTCGAATTGAAGTGGCTCTCTCTGACGGCAATATTTTCTAGGTGTATTGCTTTTCTGAAACTATACAAACTAAAATACATATCACCTTCTTTATTTGTTTGCTCTTTGTTACTCTGTACATTCGTTTAACACGAGATCCCATCCCGCAAATGTATTTATTTCTTCTCATAGAACTGTTTTCTTTTTCATATCCTTTGTCATACGCGTTACCTTGTTATGAAATTCCTTGCATACTTCTATTCATGAATCCTTCTCCTTAACTTCATTTAAACAACCATCTCTTTCTTCCACCTCCTCAGCAATTATTAATTCAAGCATACGTAAAAATAAAATTTTCGTATATAAAAGCTGTCACCAACATTGTACTGTTATCTTACAGGTACCTTTAAAATTATCTATAATGATTATCATTACGAATATGTAAACACACTAATTTATACCTACAATTTATACCAATCTACAATTTAATTTATTTAGTTGCGCTTTAATAAATTAATTTACAAATAATATAAACTTCTCCTCTCTTGATCATGGAGCCTCAAGTCGACGAAATGAAACATGTATTCAATGACAGTACGACAATTAACGAAAGTTGTGTGGATAATAGTACGTTTTGGGGCTTAAGAACGCATGGCCCGATAGTTCCGAACTATCCGGGTCTTGCTGTACGCATCAAAACCTTCAAAGCCCAATTTGTCTCGTATTGATCTACAGACTTACACCGTGCCAATATTGAAACCTAGCAAAATTTTTGTGTTTAGGTAACTTTTCTAATTATGGCAAATAACTCTCACGAGTTTCAATAGAGTAACATTCTAAATTTTAAGCCAACATTCTAATTTTTAAGCAGTTGGCTGTATCTCAAGGGATTGGTAGGTTGATGATCGTGCAAAAAATAGCTTATATGCTATATATGCCAGCTTACATCTTTTTTACCTGGAGGGCCCTCCGCCGTGACTGGTGGTGCATGCTGGGTAACTGCTGATCAAGAAATTGGCTGAGCTAACCAGCCTTTCACAAGGCTTAAGTGTTATCTTTTATCTTTTAGATCTATCCCCACCACTCACCGTAACGCGGGAAATTTAAAAAATCCTTTGGCACAACCAGTTTTTTTATCTACTTTATTTATTTTCGAACGAAAAACAAAAGCGGAGAGACGGTTCGCTAAACCCCCGTGGAATTCTGAATCCAAAACCGATTTCGAGTCTCATTGTAATAATATATGAGGGGATACTTTTTGATTATTGTTTATTGTAATTTTGCTTCTCTTTATTTTATATTTTTTGTATATATAATTTGAATGAGGTCCTACTTCACTATAACTAACATTCAAGTGACAGAATATAGTAATATTTAATAAATAAACAATTTAGAAAAAATAAATAAAAAATTATATTTAAAAAAATATTAGTTTTGATGTTCCTATCGGAATAGAAAATGTATTTTTTTTTCGCTTTTTATGCAAAATCGTCAATAATAATCAGAGTTCACATTGAAAATAATATTTTAAAAAGTAAACATTCAAAAGAGAGAGAGAGAAATACTTTATTTAAAGCAGTGCTGCCCTACTATATAGGATTGCTCGATACACAGCATACTCATCAATTCTTTTATTTTATGGACATACAAATTCTTTTTCATATAACACAGCGCAAACAATATCAATACTATAATAAATACAATTACAATTATACAATATATTATATATACATATTTCGGTAAAAACGATACAAGACAATTTATAAAATTTATTGGGCTAAATAAAAAAAAAAAAAAAAAAAAATGGTGTCCGAATGTCAAAGTTTTAACTACAGAAAATTAGAACGCTCACACAGCAAGTAACATAGTTCTATGAACATATACAAAAAGATATGGTTAGTTAAATCATTTAAAATTTATTAACTAAAATAACTAACTAATAACTAAAATAACAATCCCTAATTACCATATATGTGATGATGAATGATCCCTAAGGAGTTCAGAATAATACCCTCGACCAACACTGCAAGCTCCCAGACATCAATACCTAATTTATAAGTTTTTTGTTTGTTTTTTATTGGAAAAGTTTAAATATGAAATTTACTAATACAGAAAGAAAGTTATTAAAAATTAGAAAAGTTTAATATTGCAATAATAAAATGTATGACAAGAGGGCAGGGCATGATCCCTTGGCTGAAGAAAAGTTTAAAATATCCGCCTGGAGACAGGCAGGCCTAAGGTGGCGGTTTAATTAAACTGTCAGCCGGGAAGTGCTTTTCGGGCCTGTCACTGAGGAGGTCCCATCTGGCCAAGTGCTGGCAATCATATCGATAAGTGGAGACACCCAGGCTCAGTGCGGTTCAACGAACGAGCAGCATCAAAAGCTACATCGTCATCTAAACAGAATCGTTGTTTAGGATTTACATTAGAACATATACATACTTAGTTAAACCCATATGGATATATTCATCACAGATATATCACCAAAAACCTACAAACAAAAACGTCTGACTTTCCAGCAAAAATTATTGCGACTCGTAAAAAAAACACCTTGGTATCTTGGTACGTGACTAAGAAACTCTACATACTGACCTCCGACTTATTATAGTTTACCAACATATAACGACCCATTACTAGTGCTGCCCAAAATCGGTCTTGGTCTTGCACTTTGCAGAACCAAGACCAAGGCTATCTAACTGTTGCAAGACCAAGACAAGCAGTGGTAAAAAAAAATCAATGTTTTAAATTAAAATTAAGGCAAAATAGATACTAATACTTGACAATCTTAGTTACTATATGTTAATAATTGGTATAACCAATATATTTTTACATTTAACTCCTCTAATTTTTCATTCGGGCTTGATTAGGTTTCTCCTATCGAAAAAATGACAGTAATATCTCTATAATAATAAGCTAATAAGTAATTGCAAGACTCTTGCGCAAGACAAACACCATGACCAAGACTGGGTTTGCAAGACCAAGACTCGTCTCGCATTTGGGCAACACTACCCATTACTAACGATTTTGTACAAATTTAAACTCACATAATAAAAGACTGATAAGAGACGTGGCAGGCAACAGCTGATATATCCTTAAATATGAGGAGGAGACTAAAAACACGTCGAGTAAGAGATCTATTGTAAACAACCTAAGTAGTTAAAACAAGTCAGAAAAGGGGTTCTGCTGAGTACTGTCCTTCCCAAGCCTGACATGACATTATTCCTCGCATTTCAGGACATTTGCATTTGGTGATTGTCGACACAATTTGACAGGTAAACATAAATATTTAAAGAAAACAAATATATATCGTCGGTTTATAGCAAAAATTCATAAAGTAATATTTTAAAGAATGTGAGATAATCAAATTTCTAGTTTATGATTCATTGAAAAAATACATTTTTTTTGTCTTCAATTCTTCCTCCGCACCTGTCATGGTACTGACAATTAGCAGATGAAAAAACACTAAAATAGCAATTTGATCATTTATTTTTTGTTATTTACAATTCTAAATATTTATTCTATTTTTGACAATTAATTAACACACATAGAACAATGGGAAAAAAATGAAACCACGACGCAAATAGTAACTTTTTGCACATTATCATAGTTGAACTAAACATTGGTTGTTGTTGTTATTTTGGATTTAGGGGCAAAAAACTGCTGACGGTGATCATTGGCCTCAAATAAACTAAACATGGGTTACTATAGTTAAACGAAAACTAGCAGTGTCGCCGCGCGCTCTGTGACAGATCCTAGTACTTCAAACCTCGTATATTCTCATACGCTTGCTCATTGAAAATTCGTACTATTCGTAGACTCAATGTTATTATTTTTTAAAAATAAAATTATATCAGAGCTTTACTTATAACCTCTATTCGTATATTTTAAAGCCTTTGAATATTATTTGTATTAAAGTTAATGGGTCAAGAAGTGAAATGAGTTTAACTTAAGACACAAAATTAAATATATAAAAATGTGCATACATTTTTAGAAACTACTAAAAAACTTTCCATAAAAATTATCAGTAAAATAAACTTTTTAAAGGATACAATATTCCTCTCATTATTAAAAATAATGATTCCTACAAGGAAGCAGGAACTGAGATTTGGTCCAAAGATGTTTGAATAACTAATAATGAAGTTACTGCAACTCGAATTTACTCTTTGATTCTTTAATAATTCAAGCATGCGATGAAAAGATATTAGGAGATTAACAGCTCCTATTAAATTCTGATAAATATTGGCTCTACAAATATTGTTGAATTATAATAGTGATAATTGCTCAAAGGAAAACCTTGCTTTCAGAGATACTGCTGAATCGAGTTACATTCTCCTGGTGTTGAAACAATTGATTTGTTAGTAGTTATTATCCCACTCCTGGTAACTTGAAGTAAAAATTATTATTTAAATAAATTTTCAAGTAATAGTGTTACCTTACAAAGAGAGATTAGGAACGTGTCATCAATAATTTAAATGAATCTTTTTTATAAGGTTTACATCGAGGAAAAAAAATTAACATTTAAACATTTTATTAATTATTTAATTCATTTTAACATATCTACGAAGTTTCGAACAATTTTGCCCATTTTCAAGCCGAAAATTATATAATGTGATAATATAATCTATCTAACCACAATTTTATATCATTATTGTAAAAATTGTTTCCTTAAAATTAAGTTTTATATACAACTCAAGTTGTATTACATATTATATAATTCAAAAATTCTTTTAGAACAGTCAAATCTGTGTACAAGCAAAAAATAAAAATTATATTTAAAGAATTTCAATGTTAAAGCATTTACGTCCTATTTAAACAATGTCAACTATGATATGACAACTTGATTTTAAGGAAGTAATTTTAACAATAATGATATGAAATTGTAGATAGATGGATTATATAATTATATTATATAGTTTTAACTTGAAATGACCAAACTGCCCGAAATATCGTCGAGATGTTAAAATGAACTAGATCATTAATAAAATGTTTAACGGTTGAATTTTATATATATATATATATAAAGTTAAAAAAATAAAATTTATTTTCGATGGGGAAAAAAAAATTCAACCGTTAAACATTTTATTAATGCTCTATAATTATATAGTTTTAACTTGAAATGTCCAAACTGCCCGAAATGTCGTCGAGATGTTAAAATGAACTAGAGCATTAATAAAATGTTTAACGGTTGAATTTTTTTTTCCCCATCGAAAATAAATTTTATTTTTTTAACTTTATATTTATATATATATATATATATATATATATATATATATATATATATATATATATATATATATATATATATATATATTTGTTTTCCTTCATGGACACATGTAAAGATATAAAAACTTTTCTGAAATAGGTTGGAATGTCGTGTGATTGGACACAGCAGAATTTTTTTCTTTGATCCGTAGAATCAATCGATATCAATATCGTAAAATATCAAAACATTTCAAATAGCAAATGAACCGAAAGCACCAATCCCCTTAGGGGCAAATCCATCACCGGTATCTCTCATCAGACAATCTGTCAAAGTTTCGTTCCTGGGAAAATTAATCTGGATGATCAGTGGGAAAACAGTGAAAAATTAAGCCGTGAAAATCGACAGAGGGCTAGACACGTTTCATTATCTTCAGGCAGCGACCTGCCAGTCAACGCTGACAGATGTTTCCCCCGGTGTTGATTACTTCTCTGTCATGGATTGTCAAATAGAACGAACATAGACAAAAAAAAAAAAAAAAAAAAAGATGAAAATATCTACTATATTCTAGAAAATCACTAAAATATATCTAAATCAATAAAATGTTTAAGAGCACTCGACATCCGGAACCCTTGTTTTACCATAATCAATAACTAAATAGGAAGCTTGTTTCTGACGCCCAGGTCCATTAAAGACTGTAGAGCAAATTAATAATCGTAATAATAACTAAATAAAAAGTATCTTACTTACTCCCCTGTTACTACACAGCCATAAGTAAAAAAAAAAAATACTCTATAGATAAATAAAACAAAAGAGCACCAAGATTTCAGGCATTTCAACTTTTTTTGAATCTCTAATCAATAATCGGAATTCCCTCATAATTAAAAGTCATGACCCATTAAGAATGAAATTTTGTCAAGAACAATACATTTTATAGGTGATAAATATTCGGACGCAGTCTTTTTAAAAAAAAAAAATTTATTTATGCCAACGTTTCAACCCAAACATGTGGATCATCTTCAGGGCGTGGTTTGAGCACTGAGGGTGTTCAAGTACTCAAACTCAGTACTTGAACACCCTCAGTGCTCAAACCACGCCCTGAAGATGACCCACATGTTTGGGTTGAAACGTTGGCACAAATATAAAATTAATTTTTTTTTTTTTAAAAAGACTTATCACCCGTGATATGTAGAACAGTCGACTAGCTCCCTTCAAGAATACATTTTATATTATTAGTTCAAACAATTTTTTTGTGATTATTCAAATATTTTCTTAAAAGAACATGAGACTTTGCGAGGTTCTACTATTCAAATTTTTGTTTTATAAAATTTACTCGGCATCTCTAACACAAAAAACATTGTTTAAAAATTAGGCATTTTACCGTACCGGAATATTCATATATATGAATCAAATGACTTATATGACAAAATAAGGACAATTGTTTAGTTTTTTATATATCTTTATTTATTTTTTATTATTATTTTTTTTTATTGGCTCTACAGACCTTGTAGGTCTTCGGCCGACTGAACCAGCCTTCTCCACTTCTGCCTATCTTGGGATACTGCTTTCCAGTTTGTGGCATGAAACTCAGCCTTCAGTATCTTTGTTTATCCTATCTATCCATTTGGTTTTTGGCCTCCCATGTGGCCTCTCCCCTACTACAGTGGCATATATCTTTATTATTATTTTTGTAGGACTTTTTTTTTTTGTTAAAAGAGCACATTCACACCATATTTGTATAGAAAGGACTTTTCAGACCTAAACTGAAAATTGTTTTCAGTTTTTAACATTTTTTAAAAATGTTTAATATATTTCATATTGAATTTAAAGCATTTACAAAACTCACCTCACATAATTTTTACACACAAAAAAAGGTCTGACATGGAGCTCCCTCGACTGAGTGTAAATATTGTTAATAAGTATCAATTAGTTTTATTTAATTGTGTCTCATGTTTCATTTATTCTGTCTTAATAAATTATTAAGTATTAAGTATTTATTAAGTATTAATAAATCTTTTTCTTTTCATTTGTTATAATTTTTCTATTGTTTTTGTATTATTATAGCATGATTGAGTTTCACCCATTCCAAATACTCAATGCTCATAATTGAGACAAAATGTATTTTT